ATTTTTTTTTTTTTTTTTTACTTTTAACTCGCTTAGTATTGTTCATATGTTTAATGAAATCAAATGTTTACATGTAGGGTCTTCAAAAGGGGGTCTGTCAATTATTATTTGATCTTAAACTAGTTTGTGGGAAGAAAACAAAAGCAGACATTAAACAAAACTATAACATTTAGTTAGTATTTTCAACCAAAGCTAAAGTTCAGTGTCATAATCCGTCTTACAATAAAAATCTGTGCATGACAATATATACATCAATAATGAGCAGTGTTGGGGGTAGTAACGCATTACAAGTAACGCAAGTTACGTAATCAGATTACTTTTTTTCAAGTAACTAGTAAAGTAACGCATTACTTTTTAATTTGCAAGATAATATCTGAGTTACTTTTTCAAATAAGTAATGCAAGTTACTTTTTTATCCAATTTATTTATTGACAGCTCTCCTGTCCCCATGTTGAGAAATCAGAAGATGTTACTGTAGTTCTAAAATAAATATGAATATGCATTAATTCATCTCACTCACAAAAACAAACACAGATTCAATGTTCCTCAAAATGAATAAAAAAAATGCGACGCAAACCTGCAATTATTAAATGTTAAACAACACAAATATCCTTTATGTATTTAATCCCATTCTATTAACCAATGTCTTTGCTTCTGACCTTCGATGATCCAGTTCAACCGTACTAATAAGCACGAATTAAAAAGTAACGCAAAAGTAACGTAACGCATTACTTTCCATAAAAAGTAACTAAGTAACGTAAGTAGTTACTTTTTTTATGGAGTAATGCAATATTGTAATGCATTACTTTTAAAAGTAACTTTCCCCAACACTGATAATGAGTAAAGGATTTGCTGTATAAACACTGAAAACCTATGTTACTTTAATGTGGATTTAAATGTGTCTAATACTTTTTTATTTTTCAACCAAAGCTAAAGTTCAGTTAAATGTGTCATAATCCGTCTTACAATAAAAATCTGTGCATGACACTATATACATCAATAATGAGTAAAGGATTTGCTGTATAAACACTATGAAAACCTATGTTATTTTAATGTGAATTTAAACGTGTCTAATACTGCAACTAGTACTGCAGGCTAAAGTAAGTTACAAAGAAAGAAATAATTCCATTGTTTATATATTATATATAATTGTACGATTGTATGATTGTATGAAGAGAGTGTTACTATTTTCATTCCCTAAATTAATTTGTTTCATGATTGTTCACTTTTACATTTTGCTAAAAGCCATTAAAGAAGTATTTAAGTAACCCTCTGGTGCTCCTCATTTGGGGGTCACACTCCACAACTTTAAAAGTGAACACCTTAAGTCTAACATTTTTTTTTTCTTTCTGTCAAATGAATGTACTATATTTGATCTCAATAGTTTTTTTTTTTAACATTCTTTGTTTTGGGATGATTTCATGGTGCTAAAAAATATTAACTTCTAAATTATGCATCAATTATTTCTATTTAAAATAATAAAAATATTAGAAAAAAGTTTTTTGTTTAATTTATGCCATATTTAATAATAATAATAAATAAAAACAGCAAAATATATATATATAATCCAATTAACGGAGACAGAATGGTGCCAATGTGGTGGAAATAAATACATAAAATCATCTGTAATACCATGATGTAGCCACTAGATGCCCGTATAGCCTATATAAACTGCCTGGGGAAAAAATCGTATTGGATCATTATTGCAGTGATTAACATGTTTCTGGCATGTTGTATGTTTGGCAACAATCCTTTTAACCTTAACACTTATATTGCACACTCTAATATTTCACTGAACCACCTTTAGCTTTGATAACATTGTGCATTCATTAAAAAAGTGCATTCACTGTGGCATTGTTTTGACAAGGTCATGCAACATTTCCATCAAGAGCTGCATTAATTTTTGGCTGAGATCTTGTATTCACAATGGAAGAGTCGAACCACTGTGTAAAGTCCAGCACATCCAGACTTTCAATAAGGTTCAGAAATTCAATTTCACACCAATTCATGTGTGAAAATGATTCCTCATGCTCACTGGACCACTATTTCACATTTTGACCCTGGTGAATCTTGACATTTTCATCCTGGAATATGTACATGGCTACGTCTTCTGACATAGTTTTTTGAGAAGTAAAAAGCCACGTACTGAATGAGTTGGGGTGAAAAGAATTGTTGCCAAACATACATGTTAATCACTGCAATAATGATATAAATACAGGTACATCTCAAAAAATTAGAATATCATGAAAAAGGTCAATATTTTTTTGTCACTCATTTCAGAAAGTGAAACCCATATATTATATAGATTCATTACACAGAGTGAAATATTTCAAGCTACTAATACTCTCTAATTAATATTAGGGCTAATTTGTTGCATTGTATTTCTTTTTCCGCGGTTTACAGTATTGCGTGTTATAACCAATCACACACAATTATGCTGAGCTTATGAATGCATTGGCCAATCAGAGGCGTTCAGATGACTGAAATGTAAGCATTATAATTAGTAACTTACGATGTTTCTAATATATATTTTTTTTCCATGTTAAATACAAATTCAGTCATATTAAAAACATTAGGCTGCTTTTAGCCTTACACTGGAGTTGGTTCACTTTCCGGCAATGAAGCTAGGTAAATAAATAGCACGATAATATCGTGTATCGGCGATCTCACAGGATGACGATAGGACGATATGAATATTGAGCATATCGCCCAACACTATTTCAAACTGGCAGTTTTCTATAGTGTGTAGTGCTATCTGAATTACCTGAAAATATCTGATAATTTAAGCATTTTATAACAAGACAACATTTGTTCAGAATCAGATTGTAAAACCTCATGTGCTGCAACTCTCTAAAACTAAATATCTATAAATTAAAAATGCATGATATTTATATACAAAAACAGTATTTGTAATAATAAAAGATGTTCATATTATGAAACCAACATGAGATTTTCAAGAGCTTGTGGTTTAATTAATTACTTTTTTATAATTATTATTTTTTTTTTTACAAACCTTTGATACGTAGCTCCACAGTTTCAATTGTTGATTCCTCTATAATGTAGCACTGATACTTTCCTGCATCACTGTGTTGAAGATCATTGAGTTTGAGTGAGAAGTTTCCTGTCCGATACTCCTCAGGGAAGCTTTCAGTTCTGTTCAAATGAAACAAATAATGATGTGTAAACTACAGTTACAGTATTTCTTAGTATAGGGACAGAAATCATTGGCATATGTAATAAAACTGCACTGTATGACAGGAGCCCACATGAAAAAGATACTATAGTAATTTATAGTAAATACTATAGTGTTGTTTAACCATACTATAGTAAAGTACTTGAATTAATTTGTTGTGGTAATTCTATGTTGTGGTAATATAACAACTATAGTAATATAAACAAATTACTTTACCTAATACTGTACTAAGTTTATATTTTATAATATACTACAATACACTACAGTTTACTGTACTAAAAACTAAAGTATACTGCAGTATTTATTATGGTTTATCAGTTCACTATTGTTAATACTACAGTATGCTGTAGCATTCATTAAAAAGTGTTGTAAGTACTGTAATATATCCAGTATAATACACTTTATAATACACATATTTATAATATAATACACATATTTACTATAAATTACTATAGTAAATTACTGTACATATGCAAACTATGTCTGTGCCTATACAGGTAGATACTGTAACTACACGATTGTACACGTTTAGACATGCTAGTCATGCTAGTCTTCAGATCAGGGTGGAGTCCAAATTTTTTAAAAATGTGAACAAACTCCCTTCTAGGCCTGTCACAATAACAACTTTTTGTTGTGCAATATATTGCCCCAGAAATAATTGCGATAAGCGATATTTAGAGGTCGACCGATATGGGTTTTTCACTGGCCGATATTTAGAAATCAGGGCAGCCGATGGCCGATATATGATGCCGATTTTTTTGGCCGATATGTTTGGCCGATTTTCTTTTTTTTCTTAATCTCATAAAAGTGACTGAGTAAATGATTATTGCAGGGTACAAGATAGTAATAGTAGTAGTAGCCTAATTCAGAGTAATAATACATGGCTCAAAACTTGAGCACTTTCTCAAAACAGTTCTGAAGCATGCTTTTTGTTCATGTTTGCTGACAGACACCAGTGTTTCCCACAGACTTGCAAATGCAAATTCATTCTCTGACAGCAGGAGGCGCTGTTGGAGCGGGAGATATAGCGGTTTCCCCGGTAACGGCTGTAATCTTGCTGACAGACACCAGTGTTTCCCACAGGACTGCAAATGCAAATTCATTCTCTGCCAGCAGGAGGCGCTGTTGGAGCGGGAGATATAGCGGTTTCCCCGGTAACGGCTGTAATCAAATCAGGGCTGCGCTCACAGACGCTTATTTATCAGGCATTACAGGAAAGACAAAATGAAAATGACATGGAAGCGTTTCTGAAGACGGTCGGTTCTTTTCAAAGATACATTCATATAAAAACACCCGCGCTGCATTTTAATTTTGAAACGTGCAGTGATCAGTTTATTCAACGAAGTAATAACTCGATGTATGGGAAACACTGGACACTGCTATAAGTCAAATGGCCAGCCTACCTTATAAAACACAGTTCATTGCAAAATAAATATTTCGTGGCAAAAATTGCGAAATATGACTCGATTTACTACGTAAAAAATTGCTTGCACTACAAAAAAATTCAGAACACATATCCTGCGTTCCATTCGGAAGTGCTCATCCTAATCCCTTCAAGGGGTTTACCCTCCAGAGTGAGAGCTTCGAAGGGTGTAGGGGACCAAGCAAGGCTGCGTTCCACTCCACTTTTAAGACACGCACTCGTGAACTTCAGGACTTCCCCTCGGGGGAATCCCCGCTGCCATTTTGAAGTGCGTTCCACTTCGAAGTGAATGAGGGAATATGGACATACCCACCCCTCGATTTTGACCGAGGGAGCGAGTATGCTTCATATGCACACTTCAGACCACTTCACAGACCACAATGCAACACGATTGTGACGTCATCGCAGATCGCGTTTAATGTATCCCCAACCCACACAACTCTATAATATATATATATTCGGTGACTTTTTTATCCGGGTATGCTGAGTGATAAGACCAGTCAGTTGTACCCTTCGAAATCCTTCATTCCTAAGGGCCCTTTGAAGTGGCCAGTTTTGAGCACTTTGGTTTGGAAAGAGCTTTCAATATGGAGGCCATTACTAGCCTTGTCCAAATACCCACACTTGCGGTCTTTGCACTTGACCACTTGACTACTTATATGACGTATTTCCTGTATTTGGCCCAAGTGTTCAAGTGGGTGTGAAGACCACAAGTGTGTGTCGAACTTTTCATTACCTGATGGGACACACTTATAGTGTTGTAAAAATGCAAGTGTTTTCATAGCTTTATTTAAATTTTAATTTGAAATACTTTGCATTTTAAAATCAACTTCTAAACGTATGTTCAGTAGTCCCTATAACATGACAATTTTAATTTGTGGTGCTTCTAATTAAGTGATAAAAAGCAGTTGCAAATGTTGCCTCTGTTGACTTACATTCAAGCAGAACAGCATCCTGTCTAGTCAAAAACACATCACGAATTTTAGTGGCTCCCTAAATGGAGCCACAAATGGCTCTGCTCAACATCACAAAATTACCCTAAATGCGTTCCAGTTCACAGGGTTTCCAAGCGCAAATTTGAAAAGAAATCATACAAACAAACAATTAATGTCCTTATCAGTGTTTATTTACTGTTGCGATCTAATTTGTATGCTATATGACCTGAAATAATGTGGTAATTATCCTTCCCCATTAAAGCAAACTTATTTATGTATACGTTTGTACTTTTTTTTCATAAAAAATCAATGCATAGGCGGAGCAAGTGTTACCCCTGGCCAAAAAATACTCCTGCACAATTAAACTAAATCGATTACGGTTGTCGCGACTCACGAATAATGTGAAAATGAAATAAAAAATGTCAATTGCGGTCTTATCTAGATCTGCATCATATTTTTACGCGGTTTACAGCGTTGCGCATTATAACCAATCACACACAATTCTGCTGAGTTTATGAGTGCAATGGCCAATCAGATGCTCGTTTCAGATATCTTTGTACTCTTTTAAACCAAAGTTGTGGCTCTCTCTCATACCCTCTCACACAAGTGCTTGTCAATGTGAGCATCTGATGTTGTAGTCTCTGCTATTTTGTTGTTGTTGTTGTTGTTGTTGTTCTCTTTAGTTTCGTTTTCTACTGTGAAACAACGACCCAGTGTTGCCAGCATTTGGAACAACTGATTACTGCAAAACACATTTGATGCACATGTGCGACCTGCGTACAAATTACACGCGGTTACAAACATCTGGTGGTGCACGTACAATACGCATACTATCCTGATGACGAAATTCGTGTCATGCGCACTTGTATGCTGATTCTTGTGTATGCACAAAAAGTGAAGTATACTTTGGGCAACTTCCCTATTTTTGGTAGGTAGGCCTAAGTTATGTGTGACAGCAATGCGTAAAGACAACAGACACATTCATCTAGGTGATTTTTACACACATCACTTATCCAGTGTGAACTGATGGTTTAGCCTACAAATGTCTTCAAGCACCCTCTTTGACTTTGATCAGAAGAATAAAGAGATCTTCCTAAAGATAATGTGCATACTAGTTCATGCTGGGCAATATTTTGCATGATTAGTCAAATTTGATAAAACATTAATTTGGAAACTCTGACTTGTTTTATTTTTTTTGAGCAAAGATCCTCCCCAACAGCAGCCACTGATAAAAAGACAAGCAGCTTTCTGTTTAAATGTAAGTCAATGGACGAGATGCCATGTGCGCTGAATAAACTTCGTTTCAGTACAAACAATTTGTCACGTCGTAAATCGAGTCACTGACTACCAATCTTCACCATTGCCATGAAATATTTATTTTGCAATGAACTGTGTTTTATAAGGTAGGCACGAACGATTTTGCGACACTTTGTTTCATTTTACGGTGCTTTCCTAAACACGTCAATAGAGGTTGCATTCTCTTGATTTGAGCAATCCTCCGTTTCAAACCCGTGATTCAAACGTTCTTTTAGATTCGCTAAATTTCTACGATTGAAGAGACAAACATTACATTTGTAAGCTATTTCACAAGTCATGATCATCAGGTATGTGATCTGATTATTCTTATCCAAATATGTATTAGGAAATCTAGCTAAACAAAGCTAGGGAAGAAACCTAACGCTTGAAAGAAATGAATCCATATGTAGGCTAATACTAGGCCTATAGTAAAACATGTATAAACTCAAGTTTCTGTGTCATCGGTGCCTACTAGTGAAGCATGACATGCTAAAACACATTTCTTTTTGCCAGTAGTGAAGAGTAAAGAAAATATTCTGAAGGGAGTTTGTTCACATTTTTGAAAAATTTGGACTCCACCCTGATCTGAAGACTAGCATGACTAGCATGTCTAAACTTGTACAATCGTTTAGTTACAGTATCTACCTTTATAGGCACAGAAATAGTTTGCATATGTACAGCATTAATATGCATATGCAAACTATTCTGTCCCTGTACTAACAAATCCTAAAACTAAACTTTTTTCTTCTTTTTTTTTTCTTTTTCAGTTTGCACACTATATTATGTGTTTCATTTTGTTCAAGTGTTTCTGGAGAGCTAAGTTCCTACTGAATTCAGTTTCAACCCTGTTCTAACACTCTGTCTTGAAGATCTCAATGCAGGTTCAGTTATAGAGTTGGAGCTAAAATTTGCAGGTAGATTTCCAGGAACGGTATTGGGCACCCAACAGGGAACCCAAGAATAACCATAAATTCTCAGTAGCAAATCACCAAAGTACAGAGTTTACAAAACGTTCTTGCTGTGCAGTTTTTTTAAGAATTCTACTCAGTTTTTTTTATAACATTGATGCAAAATGCCTAGTTTATACAAGCATTTGCATTGGTTTGTAGATAATTTTAATACTTAAATTAATGCCCATGCATCTTCCACTCTACTAAAGCAGTTTCAGTTTTAGTATGTTTGCGTAGCGTTCTTGAAATTGGTGTCAGACCCAACGAACCATTTGTGTAAGTCATCCACTACTGCTTGAAACTAACTTATGTAACATACAAACCCACACATATGTGAGCATATTCTTGATATTACTGATGACAAATTAAACAGAATTAAACATGAAATAACTCACCCTAACAAGCTGAAGAATATTTAATAAACATATCTGTTGACTGGCCTACATTTCTTCTGACACTATGAGCGCAATTATAAAAATGCATTAATGCTAAGTTCAGTCATAAAACGCTAGATGGCGCAGGCTGATGGGACATAACGCAAACTGATGAAATTCACAGCAACTACTTGGCACAAGCTGATTGATTCATGTTGCATATGCAACCAATGAGCTTCCTGCTTTATATTTAAATATATATATTTAAGTTATACCAGCATGGCGCCGCAAATGGCAGCAAGGACGCTGAGCTCCGCGATTCTTCTATTGTTTTTGTTTGTTTGTTCTGTGTTTTGTCATTCTTCTTCTATAAGTTTTACCAGAGACGAACTCCTTAACATTAAGCAGCACATGTATCAATTTATGTATTGGCATTAGCATTTTCCTGTACTTGCTTTGCAGCAGCAGCAGTGATCTACAACAACAGCAATAACCAACAGCAGCAGCAGCGTAGCAGATCTGTTCCGCCAAGACCAAATACATTAACATTGTCATATCCATTACCATGCTAAAATCTTCAGAGAGTTGTCATGGTAGAAATGTCTTTACTGTCACTTTTGACAAATTTAATGCATACTTGCTGATTAAAAGTATTAATTTCCTTCAAAAACAGTAACCTTACTGACCCTATACCTTTGATCGGTAGTGTGACCACCATTCACTTTCTTTTTGTGTAAAAAGCAGCTTACATATTTTTCTGCTAGCTACTCCCTTTTTTCCACAGAAGAAAGAAGTAATATGGGTTTCAAACAATATGAGGGTAAATAAATTGACAATGTTAGTTTCTGGGTGAAATACACCTTTAAAAGGCATAGAAGTTGTTGAAATTTAAATTCAAAAGAGAATTAGTAATGGCAGGAAAGGACATAAAAAGTTTAAATGTACATCATTTTTATAAATTGTTCAGAATAACATTTGGGAAATTATATGGTCACAATTAGGACAAGTGTCTTAATATATGAGCTGTGTGAAACCGCTGGTGTAATCACATGGTCTCCTTTCTGAACAAAGGCTCGTCCACAAGATTATGTAAAAGAGCTTCTGGCACGACAAAGCCCAATCTCCTTCCACAAACACTGGAAAATCAACCCTGTGGCCGTCTACCAGCACTGGCTTACAGAGCCCAACCAGAGGAGAGCGCACTCACTCACAAAGACAAGAGAGGAGCTGTAGATGGAGCTTATGGAGTGTGTGTTTTTAATTTAATAATTTGATACTGCAATCGAAAAATTAATCCTATATGTTTTGTTAAACACATTCCTCTTATAAAGCAGTTAAGCAATTAATTTAATTGCTTAAGTTAATTAAGCAATTAATAAACAATTAATTGGTTCATGTTATTCCAAAAATTCATATCACAAGACCAAATACATTAACATTGTCATATCCATTACCATGCTAAAATCTTCAGAGAGTTGTCATGGTAGAAATGTTGTAATGCAAGTTAACTGAATCATATACTTCAAGGCCTGGTTTCACAGGATTAGTTCAATTAGGACATTTAAGTATCTTTTATAAACGTGCCTCATCAAAATATCATTACTCTTGTGCACCTTGAGACAAAACAATGGCACTGACATATTTTAAAATCAGTCAGTGCAAGCTTCTTTCAGTTAAAACAGCCCAGACATGTATTTTAGTCTGGGACTAGGCTTAAGCCTTATTGTGAAACCAGGGGCAAGTGTTTAAAAGCAGGAGTGTGAATTTTATTTTTACACTGCAGAATGTAAACATTTCGATTCTTTCTGTGTTTTCACAGGTGCTGTTTCATTTTAATTAATCTGTTAATGTTGATAAATGATGGTGAGCAAGGATATTTACTTCTCCACTTACATGTAAAAGTGTTCATAAGACAAAAAAACCTTATAAAATCTAGTTTAAACATGCATTCATTTATCTTTGTCCTTTAACTTCTTTCTGTTTTCAGTGTCTCTGCAGGTCACTGTTACATACTTACATAACTGTAAGTAAGTTATGGGCAATTTTCGTTTTTGGGTGAACTATACTATTAATATGTTGTTACTCCAAACTCAGTTAAATACGATTAACATTGCATTATTAATACTTTGAATAATTAAAATACTTTCTTCTCATGAAAATTCTTGAGGTGTAGAATACATATTGCCAGTGCTGTGTTTATTGTTTTCATGTTTGATCAGCATTTCTATCTTCTTTTTATTTAGCTACAGTGATAGTTAGATGCCTTAGTCCATGTTAGGGATTTCCGGGAGCGTGATGTGTTCTATTACTTCTGTGAGGCATATTTTTTATTTTTTTTTGTGCCCTCCGTTTTCAGTATGAATGAAACATTACATGTGTTTATAGCTCTCCATAATGCTCACACCACCCAATTTTCAGAAAATAAAGGAAATTAATACTTTGAAGAAATTTGAAGTAAACATATGATAATCTCTAAGTTTTTCTCCTGAGAGCTTCTTCCCTACTGAAAATTTCAACTTTGTATTATTATATTAAGTTTATATTTAAAACATTATGCCCTTAATATCTGTCTGATAAAATGTGCATTTAATAATATGTTATTACTCCAAACTCACTTCATAATGTCAATCGAGTGTTTGAAACGCTGTAAAAAAGATGGATGACACGTCCCTCCTTCTTTCCACTGTAAAAAGTGAAGGCAAAATGTCCAAGGTTTTTGTATCCAGAGTCAGCGCAGTATTTATCGTGATCTGAAACCATTGTATCAAAGTCCTGCCCAAACTCCCGCAGACCCAGTCACAAGCTCACAATCATGATACCACACCCTGTTTTTATAATATCAAATAACCATGCCCAATATAAATGTTGTGGCAGTTTTTTCTGTGGAATAGAAACATATATAGGATATCAGTTTTTCAAGATATTGTATCAAAGTTAGAAATTCCATTGATAACATGAATCATGCTTAAAGGGTTTAAAAGCACAAATGTGAATCTTTTTGAATTTTTACATTGCAGAATGTAAACATTTCAATTCTTTCTGTTTTTACAGGCGCTGTGTTGTTTTACTTCATCTGTTAATGTTGATAAATGAAGGTGAGCAAGGATATTTACAGGCTCAATGACATGTAAAAGAGATCATGATAAGAGAAAAGGGGAAAATAATGTTAATTTAATCTAGTTTAAACATGTATTAGGCTATGTTTTTGCATGAAAACGATTTCTTTTATTACAACGGCGCTTTGTTTTCAGTGTCTCTGCAGGTCACCGTTGAGGGTGTCATTGGAGGTTCTGTTGTTTTACCTTGTTCTTCTAAAGAACCTCAGCTTACAACTGAAGACATTACAGTGAATTGGAAACACCACGACAGTCTGAATGTGTATGCCATTATTAAGGGTAAAGTCTCTGTGGAAGGACAGGACCCAAAGTACAAGAACAGAACTGAAAGCTTCCCTGAGGAGTATCGGACAGGAAACTTCTCACTCAAACTCAATGATCTTCAACACAGTGATGCAGGAAAGTATCAGTGCTACATTATAGATGAATCAACAATTGAAACTGTGGAGCTACTTATCAAAGGTTTGTGAAAAAACTAATAATTATAAAAAGTAATTAATTAAACCACAAGTTCTTGAAAATCTTATGTTGGTTTCATAATATGAAAATCTTTTATTATTACAAATACTGTTTTTGTATATAAATATCATTAATTTTTAATTGATAGATATTTAGTTTTAGAGAGTTGCAGCACATGAGATTTTACAATCTGATTCTGAACAAATGTTGTCTTGTTATAAAATGCTTAAATTATCACATCTTTTCAGGTAATTCGGATAACACTACACACTATAGAAAACTGCTACTAATTTGGTTATTAGTACTGAGAAGAGCCTGATCAGTTTGAAATCAAGTGGGAACAGAAAATTAGATTTCAGAAACTGAGTTTGTTTGGTCACATGATGGATTGTTACTTCAACAATCACCTTTATTTTTCCTGTTTGTCTTTGTGATGCTGCTCTTTATTAAAGTCAGTGTCTCTGATTGAGAGTAAACTAGCGTTTAGATGCTATCCAGTCAACAATCATCCATGAAGCAATTTCATGTTTCTTGCATGAAAAACCGTATATTTTATTATTCTCTCTGTTTTCAGTGCCTCTGCAGGTCTTGATTGTGGGTTATGTTGGAGATTCTGTGGTTTTACCTTGTTCTTCTGAGCTAAACACTGCTGAAGGCATTACAGTGCACTGGAGACACAATGACAGTCTGAAAGTCTATGACATTATTAAGGGTAAGGTTTCTGTGGAAGAGCAGGATTCAGCATATGAGAACCGAACTGAAAGCTTTCCTCAGGCGTATAAGACTGGAAACTTCTCCCTCAAACTCAACAACCTTCAGTACAATGATACAGGAAACTACATGTGCCACATCACCAATGAATTACTCATTTACAGCATGGAGCTACTCGTCAAAGGTTAGTGGAAAAATAAATTAATGTTGTCTATTATTTAACTATTATAATGTTTTTACTCAACCTAGTGCAATTGTTTTTTTGTCCTCTAGATGAAAAAGACCAAGGAACACAATCAAGAACAGAGAAGATCGTAACTTTAGTGGCTTTGCTTTCTGTTTTCATTCTGCTCTGTATTTAAGTATATTGACCAGAGAAGCAGTTTGTCTTCTTATTACAGTATCTGCATTAGCTTATAGTGTGTTTCTCTGTGGTGGAATGAGTTTCCAAACTCAACCTGATCTGCTGAGACCATCACAACCTTCAAAAAACAGTTAAAGACACCTCTTATGTGAGCACTTAAACCACCACGGTAAAAGGCAGGTCCTATAAATAAATTCCGTTCTAGATTCTGTAAGCCTACTCTCAAAACTTGGCGTTTGAGCTATTGCAAGTATTTATGGCTCTCGTATGATAAATTGCTTAAGGTGTTTTTAATTTGTAAGTTGCTCTGGATAAAAGCATCTGCTAGCTAAATGACTAAATGTACAGTATCCATCTTATTTTTAACGTAAAACCAGGCACGGACATTTGTAACTTTAATGTGCGAGGTTTTCCTGTCATTCCTTTTCAGCCCTATATTTTTAACTGTACAAAACAACTGTTGCTTGATATTGCACACTGATATTTGTTATTATTATATTATCTGCTATCATAATGTATTGCAGTAATTATAAACACACCAGTTTGTAGCGCAAATAGATCTTATGTAGCCCCGCCCCTTTTTATCACTGCGGTCGTTGTCTTTTGTCTTCCGGTTTGTATTTCCACAGTATGAAGAGGTTAGTGGAAAAAAAGGTTGATTCATTTTAACTATTTAAATATAATATATTTTATTTGTTTTGCTCAACTTAATGAAATTGTCTATTTTGTCCACTAGATGAAAAAGACCAAGGAACACAATCAAGAACAGAGAAGATCGTAACTTTAGTGGCTTTGCTTTCTGTTTTCATTCTGCTCTGTATTTAAGTATATTGACCAGAGAAGCAGTTTGTCTTCTTATTACAGTATCTACATTAGCTTATAGTGTGTTTCTCTGTGGTGGAATGAGTTTCCAACCTCAACCTGATCTGCTGAGACCATCACAACCTTCAAAAAACAGCTGACGAGACGACACTCCTCATACGTTCACCACCAATGTAAATGTATCTATATATAGTATTTCAGTTTATAAGTGATTTTTAAAAATTATAGCGGTAAGATCTTTTTACTATTTCACAACCAGTTTAACTATTTTCAGGGAAATTCCTATAAACCTTGACCTCTATTCTCCTGAGCTGAACACTGTCATTTACTTCTAGGAAATAACTTGTTTGCTGCATTAGAATAAAAAGTTTATGTATGTTAGTATGGGCATCAGTTGCATATTTCAAAACAACTTTCATTTATTTCATTATTTACGGTCACTAATTATAAAAAAAACAAACAAAAAATGATGTGCATAATACAGGATTGGAAAATCAAACCTATAACAGAACATAAAATAAATGAACAAATGAATAAATGAAGAAGAAAGAATAAAAGCATTAGCAACACTTGTATCATTAAATAGACGCTATAGGTTACAAAACTAACAATATCGCACACAATCCCTAGAGGTGCTCCAGGAAAGAACATAAAGTCACCACAATCACAATAAAATACTCTAAATAACGAAATAAACACCCTACTCAAAAGCAAAACAATAGGCCTATATAAGAGAAAGTAAACTGCCATGTGCACTTTGTAACATAAATTACACTAAATGAGTCCAAAGAGCACAACTAAACAAAATGAATAATAAAATGCCCAAAATGAAATACAGCCTAACATTACAAACAAATTCCTCTCTACAGAAATGTCCACAATATGGACTATAAATTATAGACCTACTTCTGACCAGTGTCTAATATACAAGAGCAAAGTTAAAGGCAACATGATTACACTGCAACACTCAAAGGAGAGAAAAGGAGATGTGTAAAATATTGTCTTAATAGGATTTAAATTACTAATAATTTCAAACTATAGTTATCTATAAATGCGATGATTTTTTTCAAAAACAGCTAAAGAGAATTACATACCGAGCTGCCAGAGGAATCTGTTCCTACTTGTCAGATCACGCGCACAAACCACCTGTAGGGAAGATGATATCCCCACAGGTTTCACTTCCTCATGTTTCTACTGTAGGCCTGTAGTCCCTCCCTAACAACGGTAAGGGGCTGTTTACATTCCATATCAGTCGAGTGACTTTAGACGTGACAGAGGAAAGATATATTAGGGTGAACCTAACACACATTCAAAAAGAAAGGAATATTATGCTTAAAGAGATTCTAATCAGTTCTTATTGAAATAGAACAAAATATCACAATGTTTATTTGTTAACTGTCTTTATACATTATATTATTATTATTTAAAAAAAATATATAATTATGGAATATATAGCTGCTTGGATAGACACACATGGGGACACACTTAACTGTATGAATATCTTTGCATAAAATGATCAAACCGAGCAGAATTTAAAGTACAAGAACTGTGATCTGTCGCCTTTAATTGTCAATGTGGGCCAATGCTGTCCTCTGGTGGTCGCCAACATGCATTATGGTAAAAGACCCTCCCGACCCACGTGATATTCACTGGCATTGACACTGTTTAATTACTGGATATTACTTATTTCTGTCATAAAACAGTTTCTTTGATTTGATTATGATTGTCCATCTCAAACATTTTGACATAGACGAGCGATGTTAGACCGCTGAATCAGACCATCCTAATAAATTAACTTTTTTTGTCACACTAATAACCAGTGTTGAGGGTAACGCATTACAAGTACTAATGCGAGTTACGTATTCAGATAGTGTTTTTTTTTCTTCTTCAAGTAACTAGTAAAGTATTACTTTTTAATACAAGTAACTAGTAAAGTATTACTTTTTAATACAAGCAAATATCTGAGTTACTTTTTCAAATAAGTAATGACAGTTATAATTGAAAACACCCTTTCCCCTATTTCACAGACAAGGCTTAAGGATAGGCCTAGTTCCAGATTAAAATGCATGTTTGAGCTGTAGACCTAGCCCTGGCTTAAACTGTGAAAGCGGGCCAGTAGGCTATAATTTAGGGATGTCCCCATCAGGTTTTTGGTGCCCCCGATCTGAGTCATTGAATATCGAGTATCTGCCGTTACCGAGTCTTGATCCGATACTCATATATTTCTAGAGTTTGGTGCACAATTCAAGTACACTAAAAAAAAATGATACCATTTTTTTAAGGTAAGTGGTTGCTTATTTTAGCTACATTAAAAAAAAAAAAAACATGTTGAAAGTTAGTCAACTAAATGTGTTTATTTAAATATAGCTAAAATAAATTGATTGCAACCACTTACCTTAAAAAATTTGTAAATTCAATTAATCATTTTTTTTCAGTGTAGCCTACATTAAAGTTATTAAAATCAATCCAATGTATGCAGAGTTGAGCAGAGAGTACAAGTATTACAAGTAAATTATTATATAATCTCTCTATGCACACACTGTAAATACATTGGTAGATGTAAACATGTTACAATGGTAGACATTGTAAACAGACTGTGGTGTCACAATTATGAATATCGGACTGCTGATATAAACTTCTTGTATTTTACATGCACAATAAACAGAATAATTGCAACATATGGTCATAAAGTATGAAGCTTGTGGTGTCAGAACAGCAGTCTATCAGTCAAATCCGAAGCAACCCATTGCAAGGCTTTATACCATACTTATATTACATATTCTTCCGTTATGTAAAAACTGTTGCTTTAATTATCTTAACCTGTTAACTGTCGGTTCCACTTTTTGAGCAAAGACCTGAAAATTACATTTCCAACTTAACCTTTTGATGTACAACATGGGTCTAAAGTGACCTGACTGAGTTTATTTTTTCTATATCTTTGCAAGAAATTAATTTCATCATTCAGTATTCCAGGAATTCCTCAATTACCTTTTTTTTTTAACCATCACAAATCCTTATTTTCATTTTCCCTTTTTTTTTTTTACTTTTTTAATAAAAATCATTTTTGTATCACTACCCCTCTAATGCACAACATGGATCTAAAATGACCTGTATTCATTTCCTATGTTATTTTAATCATGGCTGAGTGTTTCTTTGCTGAATCTTTGAAAGAAATGCACTTTATTATTTATTATTCCAGATTTCCACGAATCATTTTGTTTATTTTTCCTTTTTTTACTTTATAAACAAACACAGTTGTTGTATGTCTACATCAATCTTACACACATAGGTCAAAAAGTGACCCATATAGAAACCTTTAGGCCTAATATTTGCTAATTTTTTGCAAGTAGGAACATATTTACATATTTACTGCAGAAACATATTGACTGCATATTTACTCAACATGGCTGCTTTTGTATATTTGATGCATGTAAGTCTTATTTTGTAATTTATTACCACAGAAAATATTTAATATTTTGAATGATAACTTGACATACTATTTTAATGTAAGGCTAAGGTTACCTTGACATCCATTACTAGTAAGAAAGAGAAAAATGTCCAATACTATTAGCTAGCTTGTTGTTGACATATTCTATTCTAGCTAGCCAAGGTTAGCTAGGTCAACAAAATAAAAGTTGAATAAGAATGTTATTATATAAGTATATATCATCGCTGTCAGGTGGAAACCTTGTATCTCCATAGTTCCTCATTTTAATTTTTTTGTCATAAATCAATGCTATTGGTCACCCTTTATGTCTGTCAGTTTTCCTGAAAAGAAACAGTTTTGCCCATACAAGGTTTCTATCTGACAGTGACAATATATATTATAAGTATATAAGTAGAGGTGTGACCCTCAGCATCCTGGGCAAATTTGCCCTCTGACCATCATGGCCTCCTAACAATCCCCATATCTACTGATTGGCTTCATCACTCTGTCTCCTCTCCACCAGTAAGCTGGTGTGTGGTGGGCGTTCTGGCACAATATGGCTGCCGTCGCATCATCCAGGTGGATGCTGCACACTGGAGGTGGATGAGGAGTCCCCCCTCACAATGTAAAGCGCTTTGAGTGCTTAGAAAAGCACTATATAAATGTAATTAATTATTACTATTATACTATTATGAATTATTATTATTATATAATTGAACAACTGTTTTATGTGCATTTGAAAATATTATTGTGCTTTTGAATTTCTTTATCCAGAGTGTTAGTATGGCTACCTCCGAAGAGGTAGCGAGCCTCTTGGTACCGCTACGTTTCCGGGCGGTGACTGAGAGAAGCGCTCGCCAGAGACCGCTGCGCCCTGAAGCACCGTAGGAGGCAGGGGTGGTAGATCGATCTCCTGAGGGCCCGTCACGCTGGGGGCGTTCCCAAAGCGTTTCCGACGCAGCTCGAGTTCCTGAATGGGAACTTTGTGGTAAAATAAAGATCTTGATGAATATGTCCCCTGATCTGTAATATGGAATAGAGTTAAAAAAAACACTTCAAACAATTTAAATCACAGAGATTTATTCAAAATATATATGACATGATGAGTGCATCATTATTTTATAATTATAAAATATAATTTTTAAAGATCTTCACTGTTAACACAAAGATTCTAGACTTAAACATAAGATGGTGATTCATAAACTGATTATTATCACAAATAAATTTTAGTAGATGTACTGTATATTTTTGCATCAAATAAAAGAAAATAACTTGCAGAAATATACATCTAATTAACAGGAGCATCTGCCAAATATTTCAGCTAGTACTTTATGTTAAAGAATCACACTTAACTGCTAAAAAATGTAACTAAAAATGAACAAGAAATGTGAAGAGATGAAATCATCTTAAGTATCACACTCAAACAGTATTATTAGAGTGGAGCAAAATAATTTCTTGTTAATAATCATAATACAGCAATGTAGAATAAATGTGGACTTGTGCAATCCCCTCCCATGTATACATTTTAGATTTAATGATTTTCTTTTAAGATGCATATAGTATTCATGTATTTATATCACAATCATGTAATCACTTGCTAATAGACAATTAATATTCATTAGCAGAACGACTATAGAAAGAGAGAGATGGCAGAGAAAATAAGGAAGAGGAAATGGTTACGATAAGGCAAGGCATAAGTCCCACATTAATATTGGAGGAGCTTTCCAGAGCTGGAGAGCCTTAAAGAGTGGGAAGGCCTGAAAACAAACGTCCTGGTTGCTATAGGCTATTTCTTCTCGAAA